TCCAGCCTGTAAAAGTATCTCCCCCTCTGTCCCATCTGTAAACATGATGTTTACTTTACCAGCCTGTGGACTACTTTGGATCTAACAAAAAAAAATCACAAGTTATTTTGGGAAAAAAAAAAAAAAAAAAAGAATTGTTTACCTTCTTGCCTGAAGAGGTCAAATGAAGAGCACAAACAACAGCTGAGCTCTGGAGCACGTTCTTGTGAATACTGTATTACAAAAAAACTCTCTTGTGGGAAAGTTCAGCCTCTAACCAATTGATGATGATAGCAGTATGTTGCAATTTAATGCAAATGCCACCAACATGAAGTTTCCTGCAGAAGACTGGGAAACCTATATCTAACAATATGCTAATAGTATTTCTCTCAAAGCTGCCCGACAAGTTTGGCAGGCAATATCTGCTGGCAACATCTCCTGATTGCAATGTGGAGTCACCCTCAGATGGAAGACTGGGCATTAACCCTGGAGATCCGTGGCTGTACTGCTGAGCATTGGTCCTTTTCAAACTTGATGGGTTCTGGCCTGGACACAGGGGTGTGCAGGGTTCATGCCAGGATTCAGAGAAGCCTTGGTTGGAGCTGAGCTTGCTTGCAGAGATAGAGCAAATGAATGGGAAATGCATGAGCTTTATGTTGCCTGCAGCCATCTCTCTCTCTCTCTCTCTCTCTCTCTCAGGTAAGGAGAGAGATTTATGCTTATTGCAGGAGCTTAATTAGAAAAGAGAAGAAGTATTTCCTTGAAGTGTAAGAGGAATCCCCAGCCAGGAGGTATTCTTTTAAATCCAAGTTAAGAATTAAAGAAGGTTAGGAGTGGTTGATCACTTAGGTTATGTCTCCAGTATAAAATGAGATGGAAGTAAAGAGATGGGAAGCACAGAGCTTGCACCAGCACAGTGTTTGATCTCCCCAAATCAGCACCACTGAGCTCAGGTGCAACACTGGGTTATGGCAGCTGGACTCAGGGGTCAAAATGAAGTCCTCTGGGGTTGTATGTGGCTTTACAACCCTGAAAATTTTCTGTCTTTCTTTCTCACCTCTTCTTTCTTCCTACAAAGCATAAAACTGGCTTTAGATTCATAGGGTATTTGAGGGATCAGACATGAGGAGGAGAGAAAGGAGGAAAGAGGGAGAAGGTCTCCCAACACCATCCTGCCTTTTCCGCATTTCCCTTCTAGTGCTGAAGCTGGGCCACCCTCTTCCTCAGGTGCAGCTCCCACCAGTTCTGCTGTTCCCTGCTCCTCTGCCAAGGTCTCAGCCCAGATGCCCAGGCTTCAGTGCTCCAATGCCCATCAGAAAAGAGGGATTTGTAAACAATGCAATATACAACAATAAAATGAGTGTTCTTGTTACCCTTATTCTTTTCCTTGCTTTTTTGCTTTCATTTGGCATTCACTCCTTTGCTTCTGTTTTTCCTTCCTGCATGTTTCTGTAGTGTTCCTTAGTCTTCCTTCTCAGTTCTTTCTCTTTATCTGTTGTTTTTTGGGTTTTTTTTCAAATTATTTCTGCACATGCCTTCCCATGTATCTTTTCTTCTTCTGTCTTTATGGTTCCTAGTCTCTTTTCAGTGACAGTCTTAAGTATTTCTGAGTATCTTTCAATACTTACTTCTTCCAATCTCTGTGCTTTTGCCCTCCCTCCTGTATTAACATCGTTCCTCCATTGATTTATTTTACTTGCTCTGTACATATGTTCCCTCAGAACTTCCTTGACATCAGTTTAACTGCTTTGCCTCAGGAAACGTCAATGTATGGGCAAATTCTGTCTTTTCTAAGGCCCTTAGAAGATAGTATATTCAGGGTTCAAAACTGTACTGCTTTTCCAGCGGGACCAATTGGCTCTACGTAATATTTTTCAAGTTTCAAAACCAAACTCTTCTTCCCCACAAACAACTTTTATTACCACAAGACATTAAGATATCCCTTCTCTTCTACAAAATGTCGGGAGCACGAAGTGGGCAATGACTGTGCAGCTGAGCAAGCAATGAGATGACTAGACACATAACATTGCAGTTTGCAACTGCCTGCAAAAGCCAGCCATGGCTTGCTTTTTTCCATCAGGGCTGTCACCCATCATTGCATAGTAATGCTCTGTTGAAAGGTGAGGTGGAGCAGCTTGGTGATCTGAGCAAGCCCTCAGCTATGTTCACTTTCTCCATCCTAACCAACACCTTTCAGCACCTAAGCGTTGCTATAAACAAGCTCCCACACACGTTTTCCCATGTCCTCCCATACAATTTCTTGCCCAAGGCCCAGAGGCCGGCATGGGTGGAACCGAACACTAGACCATGACAGCATTTCTCACAGCAGCAGGAACCTTACTGATGCTTCTCCCTCACATGCTGCAAGATGGATAGGATTCATACTGGGGCTGGGAGAGAAAAGAGGCAGAAGTGAAAAATGAACCTGAGCTTTTCATGGGCAAACTACCCTGGTGGGATACATGACCAATAAATGGATTTGCCTTCTGTAGACTATTGCAGCTTTGTATCTCTGACATCTGCTTACCTTGCATAGGCTAGGATACCTTGGTATTAGTCATGAGGTGGAGAAAGCTGGCCCCACCCTGAGGCAGTGTTTCTTTCTGCTTTCATGGGATAATCCTTCCTGGCAAAGCTATCACAAGGAACTCTCTGAGAAGACATGCTTATATAAGTTTGTGTGGATGTGCTAAGTGCTCTGATCAGCATTTAAACAGAGTATGAACCCCACTGAATGAAGACTGGCTCCTGCACTGGAATGTTTTCAGAACCTGAAAAAGCTGAGAGTGGTGTCTGAGTTTTTCTCCTTCAGGAAATCTCATCCAGGTGGAAAAAAGAGGGATGGGGCAATCTGTCAGAGGTTTTCATCAGTCTAGCAGACCAGCACAGATGTAGCAATAAGTGCGATATGGCCTGTTGGAGAACTGGAACTACCTGACCAAGAGTCAGTGCCCAAACACAAACATGCTGTACAGACTATAGGCAACTAATCCATCTTGTCTACTTATGGACTGCCTGTGTAGTTGCTTAGTCAGTTGTTAACCCCATGTGCAATTCCCTGACCCACCTGCTACAGAAGAAACAGTAGAAACCACAGTGACGACAGCTCTGGATAACTCTGACCCCAGCCTCCAAAACAGATCAGACAATGATGGGTTGTAGGAAACATTTCCCAGTCATTCAGCTATCGAGCTGGTAAAGATCTTTGCAGGTAATTCCTTCTCAAACAGGGTAGGCTACAAAGTAATTGTTATATTTTGCATTCTTCTTCTGACTACTATCCATGTACCAGGACAGTTGATGCATATCAGCAAAGACCCCAAGAGCTCTGCAGGGCCTCACATCCCATTGTTTTTGGTGGAAATTAGTCTCCCCAGTACCTTCAAAGATATGAGCCAATGACTCCAGTTAACCCTGTGGTATTAAAATGTGTTAGAGCCCATTAAAGGTCCACAAAGGGAAGGAAACTGGTAAAACCACTGAATCGTTGTGACTAAAGGCTTCTCCTGGGTTGGCAAGGTCAAGAATCAAAATAGAACTCCTATCTCCAAATTCACAATAACCACCGTGCTGTTCTCTGGTGTTAGGAGTATGGATATTAGGGGTTGCATGTTCCCGATCAGAAATTTCTTTCTAGTTCATTTCATACCTGAAGCACTCAGAGGAAATCTCAAGTCAAATGCTCACATTTTTTGAGGGTACCTAATTGAATTCTCTGTATATTGTGACCAGCTAGTAACATAGTCCTTACTGGGAACTATCATCCTATGGTCCAGAAGGGTAATCCAGACATTGATTTAGTTTTTTATTTTGACTTTGTGGCCTAAGTGAATCTGTTAGTTTCCATTCCTATCATTTATTGGAGGTCAAGAATGAACACTGACATTGTCAGTGAACACGTAAGAGTGAACACACAGACTGACTCTGGAGGTATTGCAGACATTTGACACGGGTTTTATAGTGCTTTATTCTGAACAGTAATTAGGTAAACCAGTACTGAACATATGCAGCAGTCATGATTTCGTATGGAATTTGGAGACTGGTAATTAGAACGTTGATCTCACTCAAGTTGAAGTCCTTATTTCTTTCTCATGCCTCAGACATTAAGCAATTGTACAGAGTCTCCTTAATGCTGAATCCAGAACTAGAAATGGTAGATAATCTATGCATGAAAAGTATGGCACTTCCAGTACTAATCCAACTGTTTTCTCTCCTAGAATTGCATAATGTTCTTTTTCTCATTATATATACAAGAGGGCTCCTTGTAGCTGCAGTGAACTGGTCCCCTCTTCCATGTCTGAAGGGCAATGAGTCAAAAAATCCCACGCAGCGGAGTCCAACCTCCCCAGTCTATAAACTGTCATATCTCAGGCTGAAGAGTCTTCTGGGTATACATTTTGTCACCATGATTATTGCCTCTTGCATCCATAGGTCTCAGTGCAGCTGCTGTTTCACAGATGCAAACTCTGATGCTATCCTGAATTGTCGAGCTAGACTGCAGAGCATGAGCGCCATTTCACTGGGCATTGGCTGCATCCAGTAGGGCACCTTGGACCACCAGAGTTTAGCCAGGTACAAGGGGAGGGCTATCACACCACATGTCCACATTTTCCCCTTCTAGGCAGTAGGAATCCACAGAGCATGGGTCACAAGGGAGAGCGTTTTGGTTAGGGA